TTATCTGAACTCCAAAAGGTTTGCCACTTTTCTTTTTTCTTTTTAATTTTTTTGGTACTTGTAGATAGACAGCATATCTTTATTTTGTTTATTTTTATGCAGTGCTAAGGATTAAACCCAGCACCTCACATGTGCTAGACAAGCACTCTGCCACTGAGTCACAACCCCAGCCCCTTTGCTCTTCTATGGATTCATACAATTCATCTATATAGCAATCAGAGTGTGATTATAAATTCACAAATCAGATCATATAATCTCCACCCCCTGCTCCAATGGCTTTCTTTTATGTACAGAATAAAGTCCAGAGTCCATATTTGGCTTCCAAGATCCTATAAGATGCAGACCTTGGGGCTGGGGATGTGGTTCAAGTGGTAGTGCGCTTGCCTGGCATGCGTGTGGCCCGGGTTCGATCCTCAACACCACATACAAAGATGTTGTGTCTGCCGAAAACTAAAAAATAAATATTAAGAAATTCTCTCTCTCTCTCTCTCTCTCTTTCTCTCTCTCTCTCTCTCTCACCCTCACTCTAAAAAAAAAAAAGATGCAGACCTTACTTCTTTTCTTTTTAATAGATTTAGTTGTAATATATTTATTTTTTAATGTGTTGCTGAGGATCAAATCCCGTGCCTCATGTGTGTTAGGCTCTACCACTGAGCCATAACCCTAGACTGACTTCTTGGTACCATTCTCATGAGTTCAAAGCAGCCGCAGCAAAAGTGAGGTGTTAAGCAACTCAGTGAGACCTTGTCTCTAATAAAATACAAAATAGGGCTGAGGATGTGGCTCAGTGGTTGAGTGCTCCTGAGTTCAATCCCCGGTACCTCCTTCCCCCTAAAAAAAAGTCTTGTTGAGTGCAGGGGTGCACACCAGTCTGTAATCCTAGCAAGCCTTGAGGCTGAGACAGGAGTATCACAAGTTTATGGAGGATGGGCGCAAATAGAGTTCTGTGAAATACAGGGCTCTTTGTAGTTTAAAAAAAAAAAAATCTTGTCATGGTTTAGATGTGAAATGTCCCTGGAAAGCTTATTTATTGAAAGGGGAGCTTCATTTATGAACAATGAATCAAAAAGCTTTCTGCTGATTAGAACTAATAAAAAAATAAAAGAACAGACATGCACGTATTTACTTGATGCTATAAATTAAAAAAATGCTGGGGGGGGAGGTGGATCACGAGGGCTCTAATCTCATCAATGGGTTAATCCACTGAAGGATTCCTAGTTTACCAGGCTTTTGGGAGGTGGTGGAAACTTTAGGATGCGAGGCTTATTTGGAGGAAGTAGGTAAGTGGGAGCATGACCTTGAAATGTATATTTTGCTCCCAGTCCTTTCAATAATCCTTCTCTTTCTGCTCCCAGCCACCATGAGATGAACAGTTTTGTTCCACCAGGAGTTCCTTGCTATGATGTTCTGCCACATCACTGGCAAAAAACAGAAACAATGGAGCCAAGCCCCCTGTGATGGTACACACCTGTAATTTCAACAATTAGGGAGGCTGAGACAGGAGAATTGCAAGTTTGAGGCCATTCTTAGCAATTTAGAGAAACCCCATCTCAAAAAATAAAAAGGACTGGGGATGTAGCTCAGTGGTAAAGCACCACTGGGTTCTATCCCTAGTACAGAGAAAAAAGAAAGAAAACAATGGAATCAAGCAACCATGAACTGAACACTTCAAAACTGTGAGCCAAAATAAAACTTTCCTCATAATTCTGTGAGGTATTTTGTTACAATATAAAAGTGACTAAATAACTTCTGCCTTTGTCTTCATTCCATTATTTAGGTGTGAAATACAGTTTTGAGATTAGATACGTGAAGTAATTTTTAGAAAATGGAAGTTTTTCATGCTTATAAAAAAACCTCTCTGGAATCTTATAATCATTGTTATCTCAATTCTGCCAAATTCTGCTTCTGTGAACTTGACTTTATTTCTGCTTTGGGTTCTGTGCTTCAGTGGTTATTTCTTAGCCTAACAATATATCAGAATCAATTAGGATGTTATTTTAATTTTTTCAGAGCCTCACCCTCTTGAAATTGTGATTCAATAGTCTGGAGTTGAATATTTTCCCTGAATTTTTTAAATTATATGCTTAAACATTTTTCCTTTTAAATTTTTTCTTTGTAAAATTAAGCCAAGATTTAGATTTACAGAAAATAGTACAGATATTATAAAATAGAATACAGAGTTCCCATATATTTTATGCTCAGTTTATTTTAAATATCTCATGTTAGTATAATACATTTGTTACAATAAGCCATATTCTTTTAGTCAGCTTTTCATTGCTGTGGTGAAAATACCTGACAAGAACAATTTGGAAGAGGAAAAATTTATTTTGGCTTAAAGTTTTAGAGGTTCAACCCATGGTTGGTCAACTACATAGCTCTGGGTCAGAGGTAAGGCAGAACATCATGGCAGAATGGTGTGGAAGAGGAGAGCTGCTCAGTCCTTGACAACCAAAAAGCAGAGAAAGCTTGAGTATAAAGAGTCAGGGATAATATAATATAATCCCCTGGGAAGGACCCCAATGACCTACTTCCTCCAGCCATGCCCTACCTACCTACCTACAGTTACCACCCATTAAACCATTCAAATCTAACATATGGATTAATCCACTGATTAGGTTACAGCTTTCATAATTATTTCATTTCTGAACATTCCTGGTTTATCTTACACATGAGCTTTCTGGAGTATACCTCATATCCAAATCATAACACATACATACACAACTAAAACCCATACTTTATCAGATTTCCTTAGTTTCCTTTCTTTGTTTCAGAATCCCATCCAGAGCATCACGTTACATTAATAGTCTTGTCTCTTTAGGTTCCCCTTGGCCATAACATTTTTTCTGATTAATGAAGACCTCAACAGTTTTGAGAACTGGTCAGATATTTTGTAGAATGTCTCTCAATTGGAAATTTCCTGATATTCTTATGATTAGACTAGAGTCGTGGTTTGGGGGAGGAAGATCACAACAGTAAATTGCCATTCTAATCATCTCATATCAAGTATACATGATACTGATATGACAACTTTTTTTGTTTTACTCTTGATTATCTGGCTGAGGTAGCATTTGTCAGGCTTTTTCACTGTACAATTACTCTTTTTTTTTTTTTTTTTTTTTTTACAATACTGTACCCTTTGGAAGGAACTCATTATGCATTTAGGGAATTATGTTCCACCACTTTGTGGGTAGAGTATCTACATAAATTACATTGCTGCACAGGAGACTTCTCTGCCATTTTTAAATTCAATTATTTAGTTATGGGTTCATGGATATTTATTTTGTACTTTGGGATATGATTCTATACCACCTTATTTCAATGCTTAAATTGTTCCAGATTTGGCCATTAAGAGCTCTTTTTTGATGACTCTTATCTTCTTTTGGCATTCCCTTATTAATATAGGATTTCTTGTTTTTTTATTTTTGGTGATTGTTTCCTCACTTCCTGGCACTACAAAAATACTTCAGGTTCATCTTGTATTATTTCCTGCCCCAGTCCTAGAATGCCACTTCTCCAAAGAGAGTTGGTACATTTTATTAGCGAATTTTATCAGAAGCCCAAATCTGAACATGAGATTCAATCTGTATCTTTATAACCATTGCAGATGAGTTTGATGCAGCCAGAGTCTGGGTAAAACTTGCCTTTGTGAACCACTGCTTTTGGTAACTTTCTTCTTGGAAGGGTTTTTAGTAGACAGTGAGATGTGACTGCATTATTTTGCTTGCTTTCTTACTGTCGTCCGAGGAGTAGATAGTTCTCAGTAGAACCGGAGCAAAATGAAATCCTCAGTGATAAGCACAATGGGGTCCTTCTGTACAAGGTGGAATTTTAGAGAAAGGAAGAGATATTATTGATCACTGGACATGATGAAAAGACACAGGGGCAAGGGGTAAAACTCAGTTGTGGAGAATGTGCTTGTCTAGCATATGTGAAAGTACTGCAAAGAAAAAAATCTGAATGTGAAAAAGAATCATGGCTGGCACAGAAGCTAACATCTGTAATCTCAGTTGACTCAGGCTAAGGCAGGACGATTGCAAGTTCAAAGCCAGACTCAACAATCTAGTAAGGCCAACAGCAATTTAGTGAGACCTTTTCAAAATATATTTTTAAAGGCTGAGGATGTAGCTTAGTGGTAAAGCACCCCTAGGTTCAATCCCCAGTACCGAGAGAGAGAGAGAGAGAGAGAGAGAGAGAGAGAGAGAGAGAAAGAAAATATCATGGTTGGTGTTTGTGTAACATCTTTTAGGGAGTGGTGGGACTTCACAAATTGAGATACAGAACTGAGAAAAATCATCAGATGAAATGGCAAGAAGCAAAAAATGTATTCTATTTGAATTTGATTTTCTGAGAGAAAAACTATTTCAGAGTCATTTAATGAAACCTTAAGTTTTATCATGAATTCCTTTACCCACTGACATGTAATGATAAACTTCAGACTAAAATTATTTCACAAATTTTGCCATTTTAAGTAACACTAAAGATATTGCACAGACATTGACACTAGAATGTCACAGCAATTGTACCTTTTTAACATGCATCTGGATATTAATGATCTTTAGTATCTGGACACATTCCAGGTCAGAGCAAAAGCATATCATCATTTTTGTATTTTCTCTGTATAATTACAGGTCTCACTCCTTTTAGGTAACATGTAATTACATGTATAATTATGTATATTAACATATAAATGCATATAACAAGTTCAAATATTTAACACTATTGAATATTACTCCCTAAAAGCAAATGTCAATTTGACTCTGTATTCTAGGAAGAAAGAAAATAATGAAGAAATGTAATTGTAATTTAATATCCTGGGGATTCTTATAATCTCTTCTGAATACTGGCCCTATACTGCTATTATATAAATATTGTTTCTTATAATTTAAAGTTCTCTCTTTAGTTAGGGGTAAGCAGTCTTACAAAGAAACTTTAACATAATTGTTAACATTTTACTAAGTGAAAGTGCTTCTCTTTCCACAAAAGCCAAACAGAAAACAAAAAGCGTTACTAACATTTTCTATTTATTCATTGATAAAAAGTGCATAGTACAAGCCCTTAATCCCAATCCAAGTACTCAGTAAAAGATTAACAATAAATCCTGGATGGCACAGACATAATTTGTTTGGCATGATTTAAACATTTAAAAACAGCAATTTACATTTAGTACATCACATGACCACTTTTGCTTTTAACAAAGTAATCATCAGACATTGTAACAATACATATGATTTTTCATTTAGAAATATAAGACTAACCCTACTATTACAACAACAAAATTTAATCCATTAATTGTAAACTCTCTTCATTTTTCCTTCTTCAAGTTGCTGTTTTGTGTCTTAAACTGGTCAAATTTGAGCACATACCCATTTAGAGTGACAGATTTTCATTCACAGCAATAGATTTTCAATGTTCCTTTGAAATTTTAAGATGTTGCTAATTCCATACACAGTGTCATATCACATACCATAATAAAGATACTAATAGAAAATCTCTGCAAATTGTAAAATATGACTTGCTGACAATGGGGGCAGTGCTTAGATAGATACACGATAAAATCTTTTACTATAAATAGTTCCAATGTTAACTTTTTCCATATGAAAAGCAAAGCCAAAATTACTATTGTTTTAAGAACATTAAATGACTCTAAAACACAATAAACTCTTTTTTTTTTTTTCCTTTTGGTGGTGCTGAGGATTAAGCCCAGGGCCTTGTATATGCTGGCAAGCATTCTACCACTGAGTTATACCCCCAACCCTCAAAATAAACTATCCCTAATAGCATTTGCAGAATGTTTAAGAGTCCAAAGTAATAAAAATGTAAGCCTCATCTTTCTTTTATGCAGATTATTTTAAAAGGATTATGGCCATATTTCAAGTGAATGTTTACAAGGTAAGTAATGATTTAAGAATGTGCTCAATTTAAAGGCCACATGTCAAAGCTTTAAGAATTAAATATAATAACATAAATCACTAGTTAGGTTAACAAGAACACTTATGTGCAGTACAATGACTTTTCAGAAATGCAAAGAAATTTTAAAAGCAAAAACCCCAGGACTAAACAGTTCACTAAGAATTTCTATTACTAACTTAGTAGTAGATTCATATAGGAAAAGCCTAATGTATTTAGATGCAATGCCAATTAAGTGTATGTGACAAAAATGAAAGAATTAAAAAATTTCAGGTCTCTAATACTAGACATTTTTATCCATATTTTGGCCACTTGAACAGAAGCCAATTTTAAATTATGATCCACAGACTCAGTGAATATATTAGCATCTCTCCCGGGATTGGTTTTCTAGTGAGTTAGGAACTGATTTTAGGATATATGGGTGAGCCTTCTATGTTCAAGAGGCACAGCAGATAAAGGACTGCATCAGGTAGTTAGCTGATATTTGCCATTCAACATCTTTCTGCTTTAAATACTTTACTAGCTATGGATAGAGATGGGATAGCTTCCAGTGGGCCACTGCAAGACAAATCTTTACTCTGTGGTGTTCATTTATCCAAGATTTAACTTACCACTTTATCAGCATAAGTAATTAAGAGCTAGTTATATTATTTCAAGAAGTTGAGCACAAAACAAAGATGCACAAGAAGGAATGCAAGCAGTCACATTAGATTATATAATGAAATGATGCCTTTACAATGTTTATGGCCTATAATGTAATCATAATAAAGGGGGAAACACCCTATGAGTGTCACACAATTGTATCAGAGACTATTAAACAGTACAATAATATAGAGAAGTTTATTTAGTTCACACAAATAGTTTCTCAGATCTGTACAATGAAAAGCTAGACTGACCTAGGTAAAAATCCTTACATTTGATAACAAAGTATCTTCTAGCCCCATAAATCATATGTAATCACTTGTTAAGGAAAAAATTCCATAACCACATGGGTTGTGCAGACATTTTTTAATGCAATTTATATTTACTTTTTTGCCAAACTTAGCAAAAACAATGTAACCTTTTACTTTTTTATGCATTTCAAACTTCACTAATATCAATGTTCTTTTCCACCCCAATCCATCCCATTACCAAACAGGAATGAGGTAAAGGGTGGGAAAATATTCTTGATTGTTTCTAATTTTCTTCCTTTTCCCTTGGAATAAAACAAAACTTCATTAAATTTTTTTTGAAGTTGGAAGGATAACCAAAGTCTCAAAATTTTCTTCAAATAGAGTAAATAAGTAAATAGGCATTCAAATGTCAGTAAGCTATTAAGCCCCAATATAGATGTAAGAAAGTTTCACTTTAACAGGGAAGTGTTAGAACAAAGAGAGGTGTCCTGAGAGGCACTCATTTACAAAACAAATTATAGCTTAAGTTATTACTAGATAGATTATTCCTGGCAAAGAGAGAAAGAATAAACTTTTCCCCTCCTTTCACATGAACCTTGTAAGGCTAGGGTATGGCTTGCAAATATCATACTGGATTGTAAATTATCTACCATATTGATTATTCATGTTTATTTAAAGTATTCTTGGGCTAGGGAGATAGCTCAGCGGTAGAGCACTTGCCTAGCATGTACTAGGCCCTGGATTCAATGCCCAGCACCGCAAAAAAAAAAAAAAGAAAAAAAATCTTAACATTAGACATTTTTAAAGGGAGTAAAAAAATTATTAAAACAACCATTTCACTTCTCCTCCTAGTCTAGCCACATAAGTCAGCTGCAATATATGATACAGATTTCAGCTATAATTTGTAAAATATTCCAAGAGTTGCCACAGTTCCAAGAACTAGAGAAAACTGCCACCCACTAATAAACTACCAAAGTAAATGCAAATACAGTGTGGTTCTCATTTTCTTTCATATAATCCCAGGTAACCCCAAATAACTTTATAAATACCTTATGAAGAAAAAAACCTTAAGAATCTATCAAAACTATTTAAAATATTTAAATGCAGAAAACTCAAATTTCCTTCAATCAGGTCACACATCACCCAAAAATTATGGTCACAGTTACAAACAGAATGAGTGGAATGTTTAAAGTTTAGGACAACCAAAAAAGCCCCACGTAACTTTTTAAATATAATCATTTACTCAAATATACTGTAAATGGGAATGGTGATAACACAGGAAGCAAAAATAAGTTTGCAAGTGAAATTTCTAGAAGCTCATGAAAACAATACCATCCCATATAGCAGATGCAAAAGGAAAAACAGTTCTAATGGGGTTAAAAGTACTCTGGTCATCTTCGTTCATTTGGTCTTGCAAGGTGTTAACTATTTTCACTTCCCATATCACAAAGTTAGTCCACAGGAGGAGCTGGTGGATCCTGTCCCTGGCATTGAAAAAAATAAATAAATTATTTGAGGGACTCCTTAGATCCTAGTGCAACCAATCTAACACAAATAAGTAAGAACTGAGTAACAATGCTCCTACCCTCCAATCCCAAACGATATACTTATAAACTCATTTGGACTCTTCATATGTTCTGCAATGTTTGTCTCATTCTTCCCTGTGGTGTGGAAGAAAGGGTGATCTTCAAGCTAATAAAGTTAGTTTGATTCTTCTTGCTAAAGTGATGGGTTCAGTTAGTGCATTCATTATGAACCTTCAGATTTTTGTTTCTCATTACAGGATCTCATTGAAGAAGCTTGAGGCTATTAAATACAATAAAGATTGTGAGCATATCTGGCTACACAGTAGTGCACACCTGTAATTTGTTCCTGGCAGCCATCCTGTAGCCACAGGGAAGCCCACTTTGGAATAAGCTAATGATAAAAGAAACTTTTAGCCTTCTAAACACGGAACCTATTTTTGGATTTTTTATGTGTAAACTAATAAAGTCACTTATTCAAATCATTCTATTATTTGAAATAGAAAGTATCTGAACTGAAGAGAATAGAGCTTTTACAGTCTTCAGAAAGATTTTATTTATTTACCCTGACATACCCAGTTAAGGGTGATCAATATTTCTATGTGGAATCAGAATTAATATTGTTTTTGCTTATTACTAGGACAGAGGGACTACTATTCCTAGAACCTACAGCCTGTAAGGAACTGAGGTTAAGGCGTTTGTCATTTTTAATGGCTTCTACTAAGTCTTAACCTGACGGATTTTTGGGGGCTGGGGCTGTAGCTCAGTGGCAGAGCCTTTGCCTTGCACATGTGAGGCACTGGGTTCGATCCTCAGCCCCACAAAAAAATTAAAAAATAAAGGCATGCTGTCCATCTATAACTACAAAAACAATTTTTAAAAAAAAAAGATGGATTTTTTTTTAGCTCCAAACATTGGGAAAGTTACTTTTTGATACAAAAGTAAGAAAGCTGCACACACAGTATAAGAAAAAAGTCTATGGAGGAAACAATGAGGATAATATGCGAATTTTATGAACTCTTCCCTCTCCAAGAAAAAGTACACTTAAAACTTTTTATATGTGCTATTTTTTTTTTTTTTGGTGGTGCTGAGGATTGAATCCAGGGGCATTCTATTATATCCACAGCCCCTTTTTAAATTTTTTTAAATTTTGAGACAGGGTCTAAGTTGCCCATGCTGGCCTCAACTTATAATTCTTCTGTCTCAGCCTCCTGAGTTACTGGGATCACAGGTGTGAAACCTGGTGCTGGTTTTGTCTTCTTTCTTAAAACAGCATACAATATATCTAAATGTTCTGCTCCTAAAACCAAAGCACTGACCAATTAACACTGCACATTTGCTTTCTCCTTATATACAAAATTAGTCTTAACTGAATTTTTTGTTTGTTATTTGTTTTCTGTTTTGGTGGTGCTGGGGATTGAACCCAGGGCCATGTGCATTCGAGGCAAGCACTCTACCAACTGAGCTATATCCCCAGCCCTGAATTTTTTAATACTTATTTTTTAGTTGTAGTTGAACACAATACCTTTATTTTATTTATTTATTTTATGTGGTGCTGAGGATGGAACCCAGAGCCTTGTGCGTGCTAGGCGAGCACTCTATCGCTGAGCCACAACCTCAGTCCTTAACTGAATTTTTAATATTAATACTACAATATTGAGGAAAATTAGCAATTATCTTAGGAATTCAATATGGTGAAGTTTGAAGAGGAGAATTTAGCATTTAAATGAATCTATCATAGAAATTTATTTTGAAACAAATTTCATCCTATAGATGTTTTTTACATTAAGTAAAACTGACAAACAAAAATTGTATATATTTATCAGATACAACAAGTTTTGAAATGGTATATGCACTGTAGAATAGCTAAACTGATATAATTAACATGTGCATAAAATTTTTAAAGAGATTACAACATATCAAATTGAAAAAAATAATGCATAAATACTTGTTCTGGTAAGGATTAAAAAGAATCCTTTAGTGAAGCTTTCATTAAAGATAGTAGGGAAAACTCTGTTGAGTCACTTTATATTTTTCACTTAGAAGATTCTAAAAATGTTTGCAATTATGACTATAAAGATTCCTCAACATAAAGAATTCCTCTCTCCTAAGTTAATTTACTGTGATGCTGGAAAATGGATTTGAAAGAAAAGGATAGGAAAACAAGAGGAAAACAGGATGTAGCCAGATATGCTCACAATCTTTATTGTATTTAATAGCCAGAACAGAAGGGGGTAAAACATTTGAAATGAAGCTGGTAAGAGTGTTTCTGGGGGCTAGAAGAACTAGAGGGGATAGATCAACTGAAATGGATAGAATGGGCAATGCAGGACTGAGATTTGAGCAATACTGCTGTGGATTAACAGCTGGATTGTTTCTGATGTTCCTTATATAAGGAAAGATTAGAATTCTGACAGGCACAGTAGTGCACACCTGTAATCTCAGTAACTCAGAAGGCTGAAGCAGGAGGAAGGCAAGTTGGAGACCAGTCTCAGCAATTCAGTGAGACTCTTTCTTAAAATAAAAAACTAAAAAAGGTAGTTTACTGGCAGAGTGCCCTTGGTACCAAAAAAAAAAAAAAAGATAGGAATTTTTTAAAAAATTATTTTGGACTACTACTATTTCTATGTTTAACTACTCAAAAGGCAAAATAGCAACATATAGGAAAAACTCACTCCATGAATTCAGTCTTCCTTTTATTAATAAAGATATTTTAGTCAAAATACTTTTCCTCCTCCCCACGTCACATACATGCAACTCAACCAAAAAGGATTTATAATTCATATCACTTACATTATGAGGACTGGTTGGCTTTCTGGATAAGTTGGATCCTCTTAGATTAGGAGGTCTCAGCAAGAACAAGATCACTGCAATAACCATCCAGGCCATCAAGATCATAGTAATACTGATGCCATTGTCACCAGAGGGTCCTGGTACTAGAGACAAACAAAAAATGCATTTGTAGCAAAACTGTGGCCTGATTATATTATTGTTAAATTAATGTAAAAACAAAGTCTAATGTTTAAAAATTCTACTAAAATAAAAAGTAATTTAGAGAAGAATGATTGTGGAGTACATCTTCAATTTCCTTTTCCCTTTTTAAAAAATATTTTTCTTTAATTGTAGTTGGACACAATACCTTTATTTTATTTATTTTTGTGTTGTGTTGAGGACTGAACCCAGGGCCTTGTACGTGCTAGGCGAGTACTCTGCTCTTGAGCCACAACCCAGCCCTAATTTCCTTTACCTTCAGTGAGAAAAATCTACATGGTACATGATGTTAAATAGTCATAAACCAAATAACAATATATTTATATATTTGGAAATATTCCAAATATATTTGGAAGTACTGAGAATTAATCCCAGGGGTGCTCCACCACTGAGCTATATCCCCAGAACTTTTCGTTTTATTTTGAAATAGATCTTTTTTTAAAAAAAATTTTTTGTAGTTGTAGATTGTCAGAATGCCTTTATTTATTTTTATGTGATGCTAAGGATCAAACCCAATGCCTCATTCATGCAAGGCAAGTGTTCTACCACTGAGTGATAGCCTTAGTCCTTGAAATAGGATCTTGCTAAATTGAAGAGGCTGTCCCTGAACTTCTAGTCATCCCGACTCAGCCTCCTGACTAGCTGGGATTATAGACATGCTCCAACATGCCCAATAACAAATAAAGATTTTGAATAGTGTGATAGTTCTTAATATTTTGGGGTAATAATCCTCTGAGAATATGAAAAAATTAAGGACTTTGTCCATTATAAGATTTAACACAATATGCACATTCAACAATTTTGTATATCATGTGGAAGGTTCATGAACCCACAAGGCCACCAATCCATAGACTTGCTGAAATCTATAACCCCCTCCCCCAATATACTTTTTTTTTTTTTTTCAGTATTGGGGATTGAACCCAGGGCCTCATACATGCTAGGCAAGCACTCCACCAATGAGTTACAGTTAAGTTACAATCTTAAAAACAGGATGTGGGACTGGAGTTGTAGCTCAGTGGTACAGCACTTGCCTATCATGTGTGAGGGACTGGGTTTGATTCTCAACACCTCATATAAATAGAGATTCAATGACAACAAAAAATATTTAAAGGGGCTGGGGATGTGGCTCAAGTAGTAGCGCGCTCACCTGGCATGTGTGCGGCCCAGGTTGGATCCTCAGCACCACATACAAACAAATATGTTGTGTCTGCTGAAGACTAAAAAATAAATATTAAAAATTCTCTCTCTAAAAAAATATTTTAAAAAAGAAAAAATAGGATCTAAGGAAAAGGGAACATCTAGGTTGTATACTATATAAATTAAAATGTCCCTTTTACGAAAGATTATTTTGGCCTTCTTTTTCAGAAAAAGTTGAAATCTATGTATTTATCAGGAGAAAGAAGAGAGAGAGATGTGTGTGTGTGTAGTTCTATTTCTGAGATCCTTGAGGCAGCCATGTCTTATTTAATAAGTGTCTAGCACATTATCTGGCTTATGATACAAGGTGAAAACATAAATGAAACACAGATATTTAAAGGTGAAATTATTTATTTTTATTTATTTATTTTTTGGTACTAGGGATTAAACTCAGGGGCACTCAACCACAGAACCACATACCCGCCCTATTTTGGATTTTATTTAGAGACAGGGTCTCATTGAGTTGCCTAGCGCCTCACCATTGCTGAGGATCGCTTTGAACTCAACAATGCTCCTTCCTGGCTCAGGTTCCCAAGCCGCTGGGATTACAGGTGTGCATCACCATGCCTGGCAAAAGTTAAATTATTAAAGATTTCAATTTTTAAAAATTGTAAGTACAAAAGATTAGCTATCTAAAAAAATAGTATCTAGAAAAACATAGTATCTCTAGCCTATTAATACTACATTGGTTTTGGTTTCCCTGTATTAGAAGAAAGTAAAAGAAATCCAGCCAAGATGCTGAAACTATGATGATGCACACATTAGGGTCCACAGGCCCAAGGCTGACTTCCGAAAAGAGAAGGCATCAGTGGCTATACTGAGGCCAAAGGCCTCAGTAACCAAAGGAGACGGAATCAGCTTAAGAGCTGGGCTGGCCCAAGAATTGACCAGATTGGAATAGAGCTTCTGTTCCAACCCCAGTCATTTTACTAGAAACAGCCAAGGTACCTAGGGTTACCTAATGTCATGAGAGTTTTCTACATTTACTGTCTACATCACCTTTTTCTTATGTGTCATTATCACAATTGCCTGGTTTTCTTTCTAATAATTGGGCACTTCTTTACATGCACACTTTCCAAGTATTCCAAGTTTTAAGATTTTAGAATTTGCAGGGTGCAGTGGTGCATGCTTGTAATCTCAGCGGCTTGGGAGGCTGAGGCAGGAGGATTGTGAGTTTGAAGCCAGCCTCAGTAACTTAGTGAGGTCCTAAGCAACTCAGTGAGATGCTATCTCAAAATAAAGTATGAAAAAGAGCTGAGGATGTGTCTCAGTGAGTGGTTGAGCACTGCTGGTACCAAAAAAAAAAAAAAAAGAAAGAAAGAAAGGAAAAAAAAATTTTAGAATTCTTCAACTTTTCTTCTCCACACACTCATCCTCACTATGCCTTCATTTACATTCTGCATGCAGACCGCAACTAAATTTACACCTAGCTTCAACTCTTCTGAACATCAGACTTCAATATCCAACTGTTTACCTACATTAATATTTCTCCTTTTTCTCCTTATGTCAATATTTCTTAATTTGTACTGTACATTAGAGTCATTCAACAGCTTCTTTAAAAATGCAGAAATCCCATCTCATGCTTAACATTCTCAATATTTCAAACTAAAACTATTAGCATCTTCCCTGTCCCACTCCTCTACCAAACCGGGTCTCCATTCATCCAGTTGCCCAAGCAGGGAAGTTCTTTCTCAATAATCCTCCATTTTATATTTTATGAGAGTCCTATCAATTTTACTTCCTAAATATCACTCAGATCTGCCCACTCCCCCCACTCACCCATGTGTTGAAGCTATCACCACCTCTTGTCTGATCTCCCTATATCTATTCTTGCCTCCTTTTTCCTCTCTACTATTGCATGAATATTTTAAAATAAATATTATTTTTATTATTAAAAATAGCTAAGACTTGAGTTGCTACTTTGAACTAGGTACTATCTCTTAATCCTTTTTAACAATCTTACTCTATGGTGGGTACTATTTTTTTTTTTTTGCAGTTGTAGATGTACAGAATGCCTTTATTTATATTTTTATGTGGTGCTAAGGATCGAATCCAGTGCCTCCCATATGCTAGGTAAGCACTCTGCCAATGAGCTCAGCCTCAGCCCCTATAATCTTTATTTTATAGATTAAAACTGGGAAATAGAGAACTAAATCCCAATCTCATATAACTGGTACATGTCAAAGATGGGATTTTGATGGAGGCAATCTCATTAATTGTTTGCTGTCATAATCTCTGACAATACCACATAACACACATTCCTGAAAATTATTAGTTCTGTGGGTAGTAAAATAGAAAAACATGGATTCAAAAAGGGATAAGCAAGTTTATAACTAGTTACATAAAACTAGATTATTTAAGGCTAGTCAAAGAAACATAATTATGCTTTGTATATACTATCACTACCACTACTTTTTTTCTGGGGGGGTGGTCAGGGTTTGAACCCAGGTCCACTTAACCACTGACCCACATTCCAAGTTCTTATTATTTCTTATTTTGATACAGGGTCTTGCTAATTTGCTAAGGCTAGCTTTGGACTTGTGATCCTCCTCCCTCAGGCTCCTGAGCTGCTGAGATTACAGGCGTGCACCACCATGCCTGGTTTATATTATCACTAGTGCCCTGGCTCAGAAATAAAATGGTTAATTACTTATATAGACTACAAGTCTACCCAAAGTCAATTCATGTTTTGCAACTTAATGCTTTGTTTTTTCATATTCTTTGCAAGTCCTCACATTGCAAGTTCAACGAATCCTTATTTATAGACAAAGCATCCTTTAAGATGGGGAGGGGAATATGATGTTGTAATGAGAAAAAGGAAAAAAAAAGTGTGTCACATTAGATTGGATAGAGAGAAAGGATGGGAGAGGAGGGGAGGAGTAGGGAGGATAGGAAGGGCAGCAGAATAGACCATGTGATTGATGTATGTACATTCCATGTATGTATTATATATCAAAATGCATTCTACTGTCATGAATGACTAAAAAAAATAAATAAAAATTAAAAAAAAAAAGATGGGGAGGGGAATGGCGACACAGGCCTGTAATCCCAGTGACTAGGGAGGCTGAAGCAGCAGGACCACCAAGTTTAAAGCCAGTCTCAGCAACTTAGTTGTTGAGAGCCACAGCCAAAGGGGCCCCAGCAAACTTCCAGCTGCCAGCAAGCTTCAGACTGCCCCAGCAACATCTAGCTGATTGGCTCCT